CCATTTTAATGGATTGCTTTATTTTTGTTTCGTATCTGTGTATTGAGCGACGAAAGTCTCATTTTCATTTCAACCGCATCAATTGTGTATGCGAAAATCAAAGTGTTTCATTTTGAAGTTAGCTGAATGAAAAATTAAAATTTGTTTTATAGGTACGTACTAATATACGGTGACTTTTTTGCTCTGCTCGCGCCCTGGTGCGAAAATTTCTTAGTGCCCTTAACTGAAACAGTAGGGCAGCCAGACATGATTTTTTGAAAGACGCAATTTTCGAAGAGCATGCACAATTTTTCCCAGATCCCCTCTTCCAAGAAAAGGATCTGTAGGCACTGTATGCTAATGATATCATTACGTGTGGCGGCTGTTGAACGTCAAAGTCATTTGAGGCGACGCGAGCGCCCCCAATTTCAAAGGGCACATCAATGTAATTCAACATTTCAAATCGGAACTAAACAGCGCGCCAATTCGAAATATAGGAAAATATAGTGTCAACAGCCGCACCCTGTATCATTACCATAACGATTTTGGCCCTTTTGTGGACGTTTAAAAGTGGCACGAGCGAAACGAGGGACCTTTATTGGTTAGACAGAAAAGGAATTCTACACAGAAAATAACATGTCCAAAAACCAAATTATGTTCTAATTTTTTCGTCCCGATTGGCTTCTTCGCGAATCACATAGACTATTGATTGTGTCTTATCGTTGTAATTATGCGAGTTACCTGGTGATCCTCGCGTGATTCAAAATCCAAAAAGCTGAAAAACTTCCACAACGACGGTAAAACAGGGTCACACTCTTGTTGATTCAATGCACAAAAGAGCTAATATCATTTTGTGTGCCGCTGAAATACTGAATTTATTATTTATAGCTTCCAACGTGTCTTTCGTATTTGCCAAATTGTGAAAGCCACCCTGTTTCGCATTTTATTCGTTGTTACACGTGAGTCACATCAAATGACGTGCACAATCACAAACATCTAAATTGATTTCAATAAAATAATGAGAGGAATATATACGATCAATTTGAGCCAAAGTCAGTCCAGTCGAAGATCACCAACAGTAATATCAACAACGTGCAATAGTAATATCCCATTTGAAGAAGTGGAATTTTGAAAGGAGATTCAGCGATGCAGAGGCTCTTGTTCAATATATTTTTTGTGATAATTTTTCTGGTGACCAGATGTTTCGCAGCAGGTGACAGCTGCTCAATATGCAACGTTATGGCCGGTCTAAAACGCCCTGGAGAATTACCACCAGTGGAACCAAAGAACATCACAATCACTTGAAGTTTATCACTAAACAACGGCATAATAATAGTTATACGTATAAGAAATATTTCAATCAACACAAATTGGTTGACTTTCCGTTTGTTAAAACGTAGTTATTACGGTATAAAGTTCAAAACTAATAAAATTTGATATGAAAAAACAATTTTTGGGTCTTTTGTATATCAAAGCGAGCTGCGAGATTGGCGTCTTTTCAATAACAAAATTGTCTGAATTAAATTGGGAGAACGGAGAAATGTGCATACATAATCATAATTTTTTTTTGGATTGTTGACAAACTTTAGCTTTCAAATCCTATACAGTGAAATTATGATTTCTTTCAATATTATTTTTAGATTGAAAATGGTTTGTAATTATCGGCCTGTTTTATGTCTGTCTATTTTACTGGTAGTTCATTTACACATGACTTGATATATATTATTTTCTGAAAACGATTTGGACACATGTTTTGATTGAAAGTACACCTTTTGCCCGTGAATCGTCAGTGAATTTATCCAGTGTAAATTCTTCTCATTTTGAAAGTAGAACAAATCAATCAGGTATAGGGTAAATTTCACAAAAGTGATAATCACTTAATTGTTCGCAACTGTCTTTTTTCAACTAAAAAAATGTATTGTACATACATGATTCAGACTTAAGCTTCATTAGTCCTTATTACCAGAATACGCTATAAAAACAAAAAATAGAATTGTTTGACGGGAAAGCTAAATCATGGAGTGGATTAAACATTTCAGTTCTATATAACCCAAATATTGAAATTGCTTTCGCTGAGGCCATTGAAACTGTTTTATTCAAAAATGGTTCAATTAGTGCACTTATCACAGCTTCTTTATGAAAATATGTGATTTTTTCTTGTTTTTCCAAAGAAAAGATTTGAATTGAACAGAAATGAATCAATGGAACTAATTATCAGAAAGAGATTGAGATTGAAAACGATATAAATCGGTTAGAAATGATTGGATCTCAATAAGACCAATAAATCATATTGAAACAAATGTTCATAATCTATCACAGTCCACTATGTTAGTAACGATTTGGTTTAAAAGGCTCTCTCCTATATATAGGAGATATGGCATTTAATTACCACATAGCTTCACCTGAAATTATTTTCCCCGTATGAAAATTATTATCTGAAACTCCATCGAAAACTGGAACGAAAGAAACAATTTCACTCTATTTGGAAGTAAACATGATATTTATTGAATCGCTTCATTTATTCCATCTTAGATTTGTAATTCAAATTTTGTATCAATCACGTCTTGGGAATCTAGTTGGGAATGCTTCAAATTTAAAATCGGAAAATCAGCTTAAAATCAGACTTTTGATAATTCAAATTTGTTTCACCAAAATAAATGACGTTTGTACTTATATTCACACTGGCTTGATTGAAGTAGACTCGTTCGACATTGGTGAAATTTTTTGCAATGCTTTCTAAATTCACAATGTCACCATCGCTGTTGATACCACGTTCCCGTAAGCCTGGTATCGGTGGCAAAATAATGTGTCTTACTTAATGTTCAATTAATCAATTTGTATGCTTGAACCTATCCAGAAGTCACGTTGCTCGCATGAAAAATGAGAATTCGTCGAAAATGTTTGGATTTGTGGATTTAATTTGAATAATGGCTTCAATTCAAGAATTTGCCCATGCATTACCCGGGCCACCTTCGTCATTCAGTTCAATATGTTCAATCGGGGGATATACGATGAACCCAATCATTTGCATCACCAATCACCTTATCCTGTAGAATTTTGCAAACTGAAAGCTCTTTTAAACTGAGGCATTTTTCAAGATCATTTCATAGAATTCGCTACCGAATATCCATGTTGTTGAAGCAATGCAACCGTGTAAAGTCACATACGTCAAACACCAAACATCATACGCATTGACATTGTCACTTCATTCATTTCAATTCGATACATGAATAAAGAGTCAGTCGTGAATCTCTCTGCATACAACGTCTTTTATTTTCATCTTATTCTTTCGGACTGTCTGATAGCACATTCACGCGTAACGGTAGTATTAACTTGCCAACACATGTTCCAACTTGAAATCGCTCAAGCTGTGGCAAAACATCTTCGATCATATCAAATTCGTCTTGAGACAATTTTAAATCCCAAATTGCCATTCGTTTGATCAGTTTTTTACTTGTTGGATCAGTCTGACGAAATCGTTCATATTTGTCGTCATCAAGTGCGATTCGACCAAAACCAAGTTGCATGGCTGGATAAAACATTCTAATGAATGTGTCGACAATTTGCTTCATTCGTTTACATGTTTGACGAAGTGCGAACAAGTTTGCTGTTGACAGTCATTCGAAAAACTCCTCAAAACAATCGAAATTTAACAAATAGACGGCGAAGGTTGACAGTTTGATGGACCAACCAATGCCGATTGATTTCGTCTTTAGTCGGCCATCAACTGATCCACATCTGCTTGTGCCTTTCTTTTGACGACGCTCCTTTTATCGCCCAGGTTTGTGCTTACTGCGATTCACACGGTTGCTGCGTTTGTGACTCTGCTCCAAAATGAATAAATAACACAACGTTTTCTGTTAATGCAATAACCAACAAAGTTTTCAAATGAATAAAATGTTTTTCTCTTTATAGCAAAAAAAAAAATCATCGTTTTCAAGCCATAGCATAAATAAACTTACAGTGTTGTTGACTGCGCTGAACAATTCAAAATTGAGTGTCAATAACCAACTGTATCAACCAACTTAGTTTTCCTTATTTTTGATTCCAATGTGAATCGAAATGGACACTTTAGTGTCAGTAAACCAAAGAAAACTTTGTAAATTCGTGAAAATTCAAAACCGATTTTTTGAAATAACGTCGATTTTGTATGGAGTTTGAAATGCACTTGTTTAATGTTGACAGCATCCACAAAACACCAAAGTTTGACAAGCGGTATATATTTGACAGTTCGCAATATGTCTTGACATTTGCTCGGTATGTGAACGGTGGCATTTGAAATGATTTTTAATATTGATGTTATCGCAATTGAAACTGAACATTTTCCATTCATACTGTCTCATTTGTAGAAAATAATTCACTTTTTCTTGATTTATCAATCTTTTTTCACCCAAAACGTTCCAATGGCTGTATCCATTTTAATTCAAGTGATTAATCAAATAAGAAGACGTTCAAGTTGAAAAACCGAATCTTCAAACCGAAAATGAAACAGGCTCACATTAGCGCAAATCATCTTTCCAAACGTATCGCTAATGCAAGCCTGTTTCTTTTTTGGTTTAAAGATTTGGTTTTTCAGCTTGAATCACTTCTTATTAATAATACGGGTTTGAAAACGATTTACATTGAATGGAATGTATGAATTTTACTGAATCAAATGATCGGTGCAAATGCATGGATTGTTTTTGCCAATTTTTATCAGAATTACGAGCTATCGCCAAAAATTATTGACAATAGTTCAAAGCGGTTTTCCAGAAAATATGGAATATATAATCTGTTGCCTTTGGTATGCAATCTTTGTAATTGGTTTACAGATGTTCGCAACATCTTTTGATTTCGAAACACTCGGACCAATTATTGAACAAAACAAATATTTTGTTATCCATTCGGGCTGATATTTTTTGTTTAATAATAGAAGAAAAAATAAAGAATGATAACCAAAAATAAGACAATGTTTGATACGCTATCGCAAAAAACACATATCTGAATAAATTATTGCGTGAGACTTTATTTTCTTCATTTGCTATCATATATTGTTGCTTTAACGCTCAGTACATGATGTATGCAATGAAATATGTTCAGAAATGAATTTAAACTTCAACTTAATTACACAAGATACAGCCAACAATAAAAATGCATTAAAAATACATTTCGTGATATTTTTATCTCATACGTTTATCATCGCAATATTCTTGCGCGCTGAAATTTATTAATTACCGGATTGCTTGGAAAAAGATATTTTATTCAGTTGTTCAGAACACTGGAAGAGAGTATCACTCTCAATATTTTCGAAGAAGATTATTTGAGTGAACAAAGAATATGAATTGTGTGTGCTGGCTGATAATATTCTTTGTTCTATTCTTGTCTTTGTACCATCTGGTAGGAGTAGAGTCTGATAGAGATGACGATCAACAATTTTGTACAATCAAATCGAAGAGTGGCTTGATTCGTGGCAAGTTTAATCGAACTTTATTTGACGAGAAACCATATTATTCGTTTCGCGGAATACCATTCGCAAAGCCACCAATCAACGAACGTAGATTCAAAGTAATTTTTTAGAAAACTTACCTACATTACGTTTTTGATTTTAAATTTAAAACCAATTTGCGTAGGCACCCGAAAAAATCCAACCATGGAATGGCACATTAGATGCATTTGAATTCGGCAATGATTGCATTCAACCGGATTCAGAAAAGCAAACATTCTTTGGATCAGAGGATTGTTTGTATTTAAATGTGTTTGTGCCCAGCGATTGTTCAGCAATAAATACAACTAGCAAATTGCCTGTAATGTTCTATATTTTTGGTGGAAAGTTTTCCTTCGGGACAGCTCGTTTTTATGGTCCTGACTTTTTAATCGAAACCAATGTGATTGTTGTATGTGCTCTGCTGTCACGGAAATCGCCAGAATCTTTGTCTTTCATTTTGTACTTGAATTTTTCAGGTAACTTTCAATTATAGAGTAGGTCCACATGGGTTTTTATCGTTGGGTTTGCCCGAATATTCAGGCAATATGGCACTAAAAGACCAGTCGCTTGCTCTGAAATGGATCAGTGCGAATATTGAACATTTTGGAGGCGATAAGAATAATATTGTGCTTTTTGGCCATAGCTCAGGTATGAGCTAAATTATATAACCATTTTTTTTCCTTTTTTCTCTATTTTCGAATTTAATTTGTTAAATATTAAATTTTTTGTATAATTAGAACTTTGGTCATGTATTCACTTCCAATAAAATTCAAATAGGGGCTTCTTCAGTAAATTTACATATGATTTCACCGCAAACGAACAATCTGTTTCAAAGGGCAATCATGATGAGTGGCTCAGCATTGAATCCATTTTTGCCAAGACATCAAGACCATTCATCTATTTTGCATCATTTGGGTAATTTTAATGATTCTATTTAATATGTATGAATTTTAATATATTCATTTGGTCAATTGGTTACCATACGAAGCTGAAAACTTGCACTACCCCGTCACGAATAAACGAGATTTGATTAAATTTTTGAATCAAATTGATGGTAAATTGTTATCGAAGATGACCTTTCAAAATGACCATGTACCCGGCTTCGGACGAAAGACTTTCAATCGCATTTGGACTGTGTGTATCGAAGGTGGCAAATTCTTGTTTCATATTTTAGGCAAATTTATGATTGCAATCTGCCTTCTTTTTCTTACAGACTATAATGCAACTGAACCATTTATAACACAGACGCCATTTGATATTTTAACGAATCATAGCTATGAAAGCAACATTGACACATTATACAGTAGTTCACCAAAGGTATTGCATACTTTTTAACATTTTCACTTCATATGTACTTGTACGATTTTGGAATCAGTGGTTTGCTATTTTATTTTCATTTAAGGAATTTGTGCTCTCGCATGAACAAAAGCAGCCCGAGCTTTTGAAAAATTTCAATAATATCTTCGAAATCGGATTTCCATTAGAAATGGCACAACTGGATTTTGACTCCGAGGTCAGTTTCGAAAAAAGGGGGAAAATCCTGTTAACTCAAACCAAAAATAATACATATTATTATTTCATTTTAAGGTCTATAAGAATATTTCGCGGCAAATTCGTTACTTTTACTTCAATGAAAAGCATGTAAATGCTGAGACTTTGAATGGATTCAATACGTTGATTACCGATATCAATTTCTTGTATGGGATCTATTTGAGCGCTCGCATACAGGCATCAAAATCGAACGGGCGCACATTTTTTAGCAAGTAATTAATTATGTTCAGATTTAAACTATTTTTCTACACATGACATTCAATAATTTCTTTAGATTTTCTGTTGAAAATGAATGGAATTTCAGCTGGAGAAAAGCTGAACGTAGCAATTTTACAGCAGACTATGCAGCTCACGTCGATCAACTGTATTATGTTTTTCGATTTTCTGCTTATCCAGATATATTTCCAGACGAAGCGTATCAAACACTAAAAGAAAACTCGTTTCCGTGGCAAATAATCAAAAACATCACGAATTTCTACGCGAATTTCGCGAAATTCAAGTAAATCAAAATACCTCATTCGAAATATTTAGCAATTTCAATGATATGCGATGCTTTTTATTCTGAACAGGAATCCAGTTCCAGAAAAAGACCCACTTCAATTAATATCACCAGAATCTGATCAGTGGCATTATTTCAGTGTAACAAACGAAGGTATTCATCCGAGAGCCAATCCTGAACGGCATCGAATCACATTTTGGGATAATATTTTCGATCAAAATAAACAACAATGGAACACTACATTTAATTTTCATTTAGCTTGAATGTTGACATTTCCAGTGCAATTTATTATTTACCATAAGTTAGAATTTAATAGTGAGTTCATTCACTGGGCTTGTTATTTACATCGAAAATCATGATTTGTATATTTGTTCCATGCAAGGGGCGATTCACGAAAACAAAGAAGTGTGAGTTTTTGCGAGTTTTTGTGAGTTTTCTAATTCGAACAATTTTTTAAAAATATCAATAAAATGCAATTTTTCATTGAGCTTCCTATTACATATTAATTTAATTATTCAAAATCATATTTTTGATCGACTGACAAGTTTTATAAACTGATATATAGCTTAAAAAAGGTAAAAAATGAAGAAAATATCTACTTCAAATTTTTACGCCTTTTTGCGAGTTTTTGCGAGTTTTGCGAGTGCGATTGCTCGTGAATCTCCCCTTGGTTCCATGAATTTAAAAAAAAAACATTTTTTCAAGAAAACTGATACTAGGTTCAATATTTTCCCCAAGCGTTTACGCCAGAAACAACAAGTCTATACATTAGACACATATCCAAGAAAAGCGTGAACGTTGCCAAATATCCACAAATCTGCAAAAAAAACGAAAAAAGTTCCTAAGTTCTGTCTTTATTTCATAACTATAACAATTGTAGGCACTAACCGATGCTGTAATCAAAAATTCGTCGGTGTATCGGACGATGAGCGTTGAAATCAGCAGAAAAGTGTATGATGCAATTAAGGCAAAAACCATTTCGATTTTTGCCCAGTTCAATGTGACAAAATCATCGATTCGGAATAGAAACAGAAACACGAAAAGTGTTGTAATTCCGAATACCACAATACCAGCAATGAAACAAGCAGTCTCTACTGTTCCTACACTTTTTTCACTCACTACCGTACAAATGAATGCAATGAGCTCGAAAATCTAGAGATATGAATAATTCAAGATGTTTCAAAGTATTTTTGGTTCATTAAAATCACTTTTAGATCATACCATGCACAGGATTTTCAATAGGGCTGGAATCGAGCGTAAACGTATAAGAATGGAAAGCATGACGTCTATGGTTATAAACACAAAATGACTGAAGGTAATTTACTGAAAAAGATAAATGGCTTACTCAGATGTGTCATTGCAAAGCAACCCAAAAATATTCATAGTAAAATCAGTGGCGTTTGCTATTCAGATAACGCTTAAACACAAATTTACAGTATTCACAATGAAATAAATAAACTCACAATACTTTATTCTACAAAAAAACTTTTGGAATTATTATTTTCACTGAACACCTTTAACCATATTAAACATTGACATGAATGCAATTTCAAATGATGACTGTGAACAATAAACTGTTATCAAATGTCATGGCATTTGTTGATTCTTTTGAAACTTGAACTAAATTGGTCATTTGTTTAGTTAATTTCTTGTCATCATCATTGCACCTACCCAAAAGCTTACAGAAAATATCCCTGTTCAAAATTTTAAACTTTTTTTCGCAAAAAAAGCAAAAAATTTTCGTTATCAGAATAGACACTTTGCTCACGGGTAAAAAATCTAATATGAATTATTATATTCACTCACGTATAGAGAACTGCTATACTAGTTGTGTTCAAGTGATAGCTTATCGCGACTTGTGATTCATGTCTGATAACAAAGTTTTCGAATGAAACAAAATGTGTGTGTCTTAGTAATAATGCTCAAGTGTATGATGTACGTGTTTATTAGACATTTTCAACTAGCTGATGAATATTATAGATTAAATTCAATGTTACCCACTTCTCCGCAAACAACTGTGAACACAAACGAACATCGTCTCGTCATATTTTTTGAATGCTAGTAAAGTAAACTATGCGGACTAAGCACTTGTGACTGTAGAGACCCTCGATGAAACTGCTTGCCTGTGTTTCAAATAAGCCTCAACAGCAAATGTTATCACTGCTAAATATCCAAAGCACTAAAAACAAAAATTGAGAAATAGATCAAGTCGAAATGCTTCCAAAATGATTGTACAGGTACTCACAGCTGATACTATTCGAATAGCGGTTGATATTTTTCGAATATCGGCACCATTATATAAGACGTATTCAATATTTACAAATAATGATGAAATTGACATGAAAATCAGTGATGCTATACCGGCGAAAATTAGTTCAATTTCCACCCAATTTAATCGTATTGCCTTCTCAATCGTGAATAGATAGACAAGTAAGAAAACAAGTGTAATTATCATTACGATGAGTGCCATAATCCAATAGAACTCAATCGAAGGCAATGCACCATAAGAACTCAATTTTAAGCAGATGAAAGTAATGAATGCAAATAGCTGGAATGAGAAATCAAAATTATGAACACCAATTTAATCCGAATTTGAAATTATTCTAGATATCGTACCAAACATAGAATTTTTAAAATTGCATGAGTCGTACGCAGGCGCTGAAGGATGGAATGCATGATGTCTTCTATTTTTCTGCTTTTTCACTCAAAAAATACCAGCGTATATACAGATCCGAAATATCAATATGAATTTTAATTTATGACTTTATTACAAAACCAATGTTGAATCCTACTCTCAGGCTTCCCGTCACTCACTGCACACTATAGATTGCGTCCGCTTGGGAAAGAATAATTACTTTTCCGCAAACTTTGTTTGTTAGGTAAAGTATTAGTTTTACTAGCCAAAATTTCATGACATCTCCTCTTTCGGACCACTATAACGTCACGCCAAACTTCAAAAATCACATATCTGTACACTAGGCAATGTAGATGGGAACAAATCCTATCGATCAAGACCTATCTGCCTCCAAAAACATGTTGTTTACTATGAAAAATGTGCAAAATAGCGATGTGCGTATGGCGTCGTTCGCGTTCGCGTTCGGGTCCGCGTCCGCATTCTATGAAAACTTGTTCGCCGATTATCTCAAAAAGTTGACAAGATAATTGAGATCTGTAAAAGCCAAAAGTTTTGGCATGTCGAGAGAAAGCTTGAATGCTAGCGGATTGATTTTGAACCCATTCTGATTTACCAATTTCGTACCATAAGCCTCCGACTAAGGACCTGAAAAACCTTGAAAAATGACACTTTTGTACGGAAAGTACCCGAAAAATGCATTTTTCAGGGTTTCGATCAAGGCAAACTGCCATTTTTTTTGCAAAAATAATGGGAGTCTGTGAACATCCGAACACCTACTTGCCCATAAATTTGGTCCAAAATCGACATTTCTTGAAATTTTCCTCGAAAAATAGACTTTTGTATGAAAAATCACTCAGAAAGCCATTTTTTAGGGTTTTGGTCAAGGCAAACTGATATTTTCTTGCAAAAATAATGGGAGCCTTCAAACAACCGAACACCTACTTGCCCATAAATTTGGTCCGAAATCAACATTTCTTGAAATTTTTGAAATTTTGTTCGAAAATGACACTTTTGTATGGAAAATGGTCGAAATAGTTATCCCGTGTGAAAAAATAGTAACTGAGCAGTCAGTTAACTAATTTGGGACAAAAATGACTTACTTTGATTGACATTTCAGTACAAAGTGTAGTGTAAGTCTATCATAGTTAACTGAAATCATTTGAAGTTACAAGTCAATCTAAGTTGCTTCATTTGGGACCAAGTGATTTTTTTAGAACAAAAACATAAATTCAATCAACTAAAGTCAACTGAAGTTATAGTCAGTCAGTCATTTCTTTCTCACACGGGATATTTTAAGGTCAAAAATGCTATGAAAAAAGGGTCCATTGAAATTTTGGTTAAACATTAAGCGGGAGGTAAACTAAATTGCTGCGGAGCGGAAAAGTTTGGATTACGTATGTAATTCGTTTTATTTAAATTAAAATAATACTTTTCGAGTGGGAGTCCTTCTTTTCATTCCTTTATGATAACAAATATTTATACTCTGCCTTTATGATAAGAAACATTTCCAAGAAGCAAGAAAAAGTTAAATACATAACTTCCAACAAACTTGACAACAAATCAGAATTAAAGAACATTTAAACTGAGTGAGACAGCCACCATTTTGTGTCTTCTTTTAAAAAAAAATGGCTCAATATTATTGATATTCTATGTATATTTAGGAGAATTCATCTATTTTATACAATTTCCGACTAAAATTAGATCCATTATACATCAACTCAAATACCAAATTGCATTTTAGCTCATATAAATACGAGTGTTCTCCGTTGAAGTGATCTTATAAAGGCAATTCAGATTCTATCTTTTTTCCTTGGATCGATCAGTAAAGTGATCTGTATCTCAAATATGCTTCTATTGCATATGTAACCATAGTTAAATACCCAAAGACCTAAAATAGTTTTGATTAGTTTGCATTTATATTTCACAATAGCTGATGTTATATCATGTACTAACCGACCCTGCTGTTAAAAGCGACAATTTTAATACGACAATTAGAGAAGATATCACCAGAAAAACAAGTGCCGCCACAGCTGCAAAGTACAGCTCAATTTTATCCAAATTTACGCCAAATATGTTATCAGCTTTCAGCATGTACAAAACAAATAGAATTGCGGTTGGTACGAATAAGATCATAGTTATGATACAGAATGCGTCAGCAGAGCCCCATGTAGTATCCAAACTTATTTTTGACAAAATAAACCCGACGAGTTCGAATATCTAAAATGAAAATATTTCAATTTTTCTGAATATTTCAATTACTTCAAAATACGTCGTACCAAACATAAACATTTCAATATTGCAGGAACTGTCCATAGACGGTCGAATAGAAGAGACATGATGCTTTCGATATCGAACTTAAAATTTGAGAATGTGTAAGATTCAGCAGCGTCACATTAAGTGTGTATACTACAATGAAAACACTTCTAAGGCAATGATGTCATACGGTTATTTTTATTTTTGACACTTGAACATATTGTTAATGTACTTGTGAATAAATGCGTTGAAATCAGACAAATTATATGTATTTCCAAAAATCTCGCTTGTTATTTTTGAATACTCACTCAATATTATTTCGCACTGTGTATAGAACTAACTAAATTACTGCATCAGCAGCCATACAAAGCAGCTGGTGAATATTTTACGGTGACTCAGTAGTTGTGTGTTATCAGCAGCGTCATTAAGAGATATGAATGCGATATGAATAATTCAGATAATTCATTTTCGTGTTGAAACCTTTAAACGTAATTTTTCCAAACCTATTAACGAAATTCTCACAAAATGGAACTTTCCAATTGTCGTTCTACCAAAAAAAACATAAAAATGATTATAAACATCAATTTTAATTAGGATGACTTCATCATATTTCAACTAAAACATATTGCTGATAAAATAATAAGTATCATTATTGAGAAAATAGATAACAATTAATTTAAGAAAAAAAATCGTTGAAATGAATGAATGAAAATTGGTAGGAACTACGATTGAAGTAGTTCGTTTTCTCCATTGCCTTGTGAAATTCGCTTTAATTTCCAATAATTGAACAGCGTTTCGATCACATAACCAACAGCTGTTATGAAGCCAAGTATCTGAAAAAAGAGACTTTAGTACTGCTTTAGTGCTTTTGATGTAATGGTTTACTCACAGATGCAGCCAATAAAACTTTATTACGGTTCAGTATCAACACTGCGGCCAGCAATAGAATGAGTGAACCCGTTGCATGATAATACATCTCAACTTTCAACAAGAAGATCAACGGAGATTCACGATTGCGCTGTATAAAATACCAAATAAACCATAGCACCGTCGAAATAAATGCAATTAATATCATAATAATGTAAAAAAATTTAACGGATCCCGAATATTCGTTGTCGCACAGTGCACAGATAAAACCGGAAAACTCAAAGATCTAGAAGAAACATGTATTTGAGTTCCGATGATTTGAAGAAATTTTAAATTTCATACCAAACAGACTGTCTTTAAAATGGCAGGAAAGGTGAGAAAATTGCGGTAAAATGGTAGCTTAGATTTCTCCGTAACATTCGATGGTACAGCATCTGGTTGGGTTGTTTCATTTGCGGTAACCATAATCGTTGAATTTGGTATTTCCAATCAAAATTCGCAAATCGCTTTCAGATCGCAAGCTACTCTGGAAGTATGATTCTTCGAAATTATTGTCATTTGGAATTTCACGGATCAGAGATCCATTTATACGCTGCTTGATGGTCATCAAATGAAGTCTTTATACTTACTTAATTTACTGTGAACCGATCGACTCAATGATTCTTCCGACTTAATATAACAACTGAGATTTTATAGAGCAAAAACGCTTAATCTTGATGTGTATTTTTAGAAATGAAAAGGATATATTTTTCTCGGAGAATGTTTGTATGTGATTTTTTCTGCCAATTTTTTTCCACAGTTAATTCAACCCCCTTTTGACTACCCATATTTCAGAACATATGACACACATTCAAATGATTGGGTCAGTGAAGTGAATCATGATGTTGAAATAGCTCGTGTTACGTGATGAATGTAAAGTGTACTTATTTGATTGGAGCGAATAAAAATACATGATACAACGTGATTAACCCTTCGACGACCAATGGGACACATATGTCCCATTTTGTTTTTCATCTGTAATAACTACATTTTTGAACCAATTTTAGTAAAATTGGTTTCGTTTGAAAGAGAATTAATGTAGCTATCAGAAAGTACCATAATATTGGATATTTATTGTAAACGCAATTAGATAGAACACTCTAAAGTCAAAAAATCTTAACTTTTTTTCAACTTTCGCCAAATGCTATATAATTTTAACGGTGGAACTTTTAAAGCTGAAAATTTGGAATAATGTGCGAAATGTCCATTACTTTCCTGTGATGTATCTCAGTTGAGTGTCGGAAACAGAAGAAAGTCTTTATTCAATGTTCTTACTAGCTAATGTCACAATGGTTTTATTCTAGTTGACAATGTGTGTGAATGGCGCTGTGATATAAATGTAGTAATAGATTAAGTAGTATCACACTTGCTATAATGATGTACTTTACGTACTCTACAACCCCTTTCCAAAGATGCTTAACTATATTAACAATATTTTGTTCAAAAATGTTTTCTTCTTTTCTTTTTATATAAATGAATTGTATGAGTAAAAAATTGTGTATCATATATGTTGCTGTACATTCAGCACTGAACCACGACGTTAGCGACGACGGTTTGACGTGTAAAAGTCTTTGATGTTTTGTTTCGCTTGTGCGGCAACACGACGGGTTGCTGGTCGTTCGATGACGTCGGGAATAGATTCTTCCAATTCATTTTCTTCTTGTGAATGAGAACTCACAAAGGAAAGGTCACTTGAGTCACCGGCTGTGTCAGACGGCAAATCAATTTCATTTGTTGCTGCATCATGTGCCTGCTCAGAACCTTGCGAATCATTTAGTTCCAGAGGCAACTCATCTCCCCCCATATCATCAGTTTCACCATCTCTGATCTGATCTACATGACGTTTAATGTCACGTTTTTCACGGAGTAACAAACAGGTGTAATTACGTGGTCCTATTTTATTTTTAATGGTAGCTTGTGACCAACTTGCTTTGTTTGGGTTTCGATAATCTCTCACATAGACTTTTTGTCCTACCGAAAAATTTACGTTACGATTTCCTTTATAATTTTTAATTGCGGTTTGTTGCTTTTCTTTGATAACATCTGTAACTACAGGCGGTTTTAGCCAACTAAAACGCGATTTTAATTCTTTTCCGAGAAGGAGTTTCGCAGGAGTTTCGTTAGTTGTGCAATGTTTTGTAATTCGATAGTCAAACAAAAATCTATCGAGAATGGTGTCGAAGTCACCTATTTTGCTCTCCTCAATCGTTGCAATTAATGACTTCTTCAATGTTTTGACAAAATTCTCGGCTTGGCCGTTTGTCGATGGATGTCCAGGTGCGGTGTATATGTTGTAAATACGGTGTAAATTGTCTTCCATTGTCTTGAACCAAGATGCTGATTAAACCAAATCGTGAGAAAATTTCTCTTAATTTACGAATGACAAATGCAGACGTCATATCCTTGGTTTTGAAAACTTCAACCCACTTGGAATATGAATCGATTGCAAGAAACAAATAATAGCCTCGAACGGGACCTGCAAAGTCAATGTGAACACGTTTCCAAGCTGAATCAGTGGGTGTCCACGGCATGAGAGTACTTTTCTCAGGACTTGCTTGAGTCTTTTGACAATAAACACAACCTTTTATCAAATTTTCAATTTCTTTGTCAATATGCGGCCAATAAACATATGAACGAGCTAACGCTTTCGTTTTTACAATTCCCATGTGCGATGCGTGAAGGTCTTGCAAAATGATCTTACGCAGAGCATTTGGAATGACGGTGCGATAGCCCCAAAGAATGCAACCTGATTCAACAGATAATTCAGTTGCTTTGTTTCGAAATGATGTATATTCACTGCCTTGAAGCTGATCGACAGTTCCGTGTTGAATACAATCGTGAACCTTTGATAAAATGAGGTCTCGTCGAGTGTGTGTGGCTATATCTTTGTACGTTAATGTTTTCATGATGTTTGAACCTACATAATTTATGTATGAACTCTCCTTGGTTTCTTCCGCTGTAGAAACTTGTGCAATACGTGATAAACTATCAGCCGTATTCAAAGAACCTTTAATGTACTGAATAGAATAATTGAAACCAGACAAAAGAAACGCCCATCTCTGCATACGAGCAGCGGCCATTAAAGGAATGCCTTTATTTTCGCCAAAAATTGCGATCAACGACCTGTGATCAGTTTCAAGCGTGAAAAACATGCCCAATAAATATTGTCTTAACTTAATCACACTAAAAATGATGGTTAATGCTTCTTTTTCTATAGTACTGTAATTCTTTTCTGCATTATTTAATGCGCGTGAGACATATGCAATAGGTCTCTTGGTTCCATCGTCATATTTATGAGATAAAATACCAGTAATGTATCTGTAGACAAAATAATTAATAATTTCGGATTAAAATGAACTAAAACTCGATCAGAACAGATTTCTGTTTTCATGTGTTCGAATACATTTTGACAAGCCTGATCCCATTTAAATTCAACATTTTTTTGCAACAAATGGTAAAGCGGTGTCATTTTCTGAGCGAAATTTTCGATGAAAAATGAATGATGATTTACCATGCCAATAAATGCTCTTAATTCAGAGACATCACTTGGTCGTGGTGAATTGAGAACGGACTTGATTCGTACGAACGGACTTGAATTGAGAACGGACTTGAACCATTTTTGTCAATGTCAAATCCTAAATAAGAAATTTTTTCCTTGAAAAATTCACATTTGTTGACGTTTAGTCTGAGACCGGCTGTCTGAAGTTTAATCAAAACTTGTTTTATCGTTTTCAAATGATCTGCTAGAGTTGGCCCAGTGACGACAATGTCATCTTGATAACAGAATACATTTGAGAAGCAACTAAGGAGATTTTCCATGGTCTTTTGAAAAAGTGCGGCGGCAATTTTGACGCCAAACGGTAAACGTGTCATTTTGAAAATGCCTTTGTGTGTACTCCATGTACACAATTTTTGTGCTTCATCGTCTAAAACTAACTGATTGTATGCATTCGACATGTCAAGTTTAGTAAACAAAATACCTCCTTGCATTGAAGCAAAAATTTGATCAATCCGTGGCAATGGATATTTGAAATCGATTAAAAATCGATTAATTGTGACTTTGTAATCACCACAAATGCGAATATCGCCAGAAGGTTTCAATAATGGCACAAGAGGTGTAGCCCAATCCGAATTGTCTACTGGAATAAGTATTCCTTTTGAAACGAAGTCATCTAACTGTTTCGCTATCATATCACGCCATGCTAACGGAACAGGGCGAGGTTTGCAGAAAATCGGTGTGACATCTTTTTGAATGGGTAATTTAATGGTCGTGACGTTATACTTTCCTAAACCGCAACTAAAAACTTCGTGAAACTCACTTTTGATTGAATCAATCATTTCGTTGGGCGCAAAAATATTGTTGACGCGATTTGTTTGTACTAATTCAAAACTAAAAGCACGTAGAAAATTTCTACCTAACAAAGTCGGTCGGTCACTGTTTGTCACTACAATTATTCCTGATATCTTTTGACCTTTGTAATTAACAACTGTTTGAAACTCACCAATGATCTTTAATGGGTCACCTGTGTATCCGGAGAAAGGTGTGTTGCATGGTTTCAAAACTCTTCGATCAAAGTATTTATCAAATGTGTGAATTGATATGAGCGAACATGGTGCACCAGTGTCACATTCAACCGTAAGCCTGACTCCATCCACAAGCACAGTTAACTCATAGCGATCGTTCTCTTCCGAGCCCTCAATTGAATAAATTGGGTAGTCGTAGTTCGTCACATCGCATGGTTCAATGCTAAACGTAGAAGTGGAATTACAAACAGAATTAGAAAAATTTTCACTAGAAATTGAACAATTTTTATCAAAAAAATTAACAAAATTGACGTTATTCTTATCCTTCTGCTTGCAAATGTTGGCTAGGTGCCCAGTTCGTCCACAGGAATGGCACTCGCTGTCCTTGTATTTGCATGATGATGATGTGTGGTTCTTCCAACCACAATGCCCACATGGTTTTTTCGATTTCCCGTTACCGTAGCTCTTCTTGCGATTGTTGTTGTTGTTGCCGTTTCTGCTGCTTGCCACGTGCTTTGATGAAATTCACGTCCACGCTGCTGTTTTGCGATTGTTGAATTTTTGTTTCTTTCATCATCGCCTTTTTCAATGCAGTTTGCAACGTCAGCGTTTCGTCTTCTTCGCAAAGTTTTTCGAATATTTTGCTTGGCAATTCAACGACAAATTTGTCCAAAACGATACGTTCCAAATCACCAGCGACGAATTTGCAATCGAGTGATAACCTCTTCACACGTGCAAACCACGATGCTACACGTTCGTCGGCTCCCATTTTCGCTGCGTAGAAATTTCTTCGCTCGTTGAAAACAATTACGGGTGGTGTGTAATGCGCTTTCATCAACGCACACAAATCATTGTACTTCTCTTTGCTCGGTAATTTCGGACTGCATAAACAATGCAGAATTTGATATGCTTCTGCTCCGATCAATTTCAATAAAATTGAAATTTTTTGCTTTTCGTCTGTGCACTCAATTTCGACGAAATGTAATTCGAGACGTTCAAACCACAAATTCCAATTCTCTGTCGGGTTAAACTCCGGCATCGATGATGCGGTGATGATTTTCGTGTCCGTCATTTTTCGTTGGTCGATGATTTTCATGTAATGCACAGATGTTCAGAAAAAAAAAATAGTTTTTCTTACGATTACTTTTTCGATGGAAAAAAAATTTACGGTGAATTTGCTGAGATCTTGAGATTTTTTTCTCGCAGTACTTTTTCGATGTAAAAAAATTACGGTGAATTTGCTGAGATCTTGAGATTCTTTTCTCGCAGTTCTTTTTCGATGTAAAAAAATTACGGTGAATTTGCTGAGATCTTGAAATTCTTTTCTCGCAGTAATACTTTGAGTTGCCCTTTTGTCGCCAATGTGATGTATCTCAGTTGAGTGTCGGAAACAGAAGAAAGTCTTTATTCAATGTTCTTACTAGCTAATGTCACAATGGTTTTATTCTAGTTGACAATGTGTGTGAATGGCGCTGTGATATAAATGTAGTAATAGATTAAGTAGTTTCACACTTGCTATAATGATGTACTTTACGTACTCTACATTTCCAAAATTCATCGACTTTATTTAGAAAAAACATTTTTTCCCCTTTTTTTTGCGTTTGGCGCGATGGGACATATGTGTCCCATTGGTCGGTAAAGGTAAATAAATACCCCGTATTTCCCTGTATTTTGGCCATTATTCGCGAATTTTCAAACACAATTTACAAAATTATCATTAAATTCGTGATTAAATGGGCACAACAAAGCACAATTCAAACCATTTTCGGTTCAAAACAATTCTGAATATTTTAAAAACGAAAAAGATTTTACACGTAGTTCTTATGGGAGGCATATTTTTTTCCATACACAGGTAGTTACCGTTACCGACCAATGGGACATATATGTCCCATCATTTTTTTCATATTTCTAGTTAAAAAAAATTAATTTTTGATAACATTTTTATTGTGGTTTTTGGGGTCGCTGAGCACGAATCTGCAATCAGAATTGCAAAATTCCCATCCGTTCAATCTTGGTCGTCAAAGGGTTAAACATATTTATTAAAAGCCTTTATGACTCATTTTAAGCTTGAATCTTGTAATGAAATGAAAATATATTTGCGAAAACAAATTTCGAGATTATGAATGCAACATATTTATCGTTATTGTAATGTACTTATGTTATATTTTTCAGAGGTTGGTTGCAGATAAATTTATTTATATCAAATATCAAATAAATTTATCCGATATTTTTCATGCGTTGTGTTGTTCTGACGCATTCGTAGTACATAAACGAGATATCGGCTGTTGTATTGGCAGCAGCTATTCATCGCAGGAATGAGATTTTTGTCGAGGGGCAAACCACTCAAAAGTAATACTGTGTATTAGTATTACTATAAGTAATACTAATGTAAATATTACCTTGTATTACTTTAGTATTACATTTTTCAAACAGTAGTATTATTTTTAAAAGGAGTATTACTTTATCAAAAGTAATACCATTTTTACCTAGTATTACTTCGTATTACTTCGCAGGTATTATGTATTACTTTTGAGTGGATTGCCCCTTGATTTTTGTTTTGTTCATTTACCGATATTTGTGAACAAGTCTGCCACTGTGTCACTACATAGTATATATAGTCCATAAGAAATGTGTATGTAGTGACACAGTGGCAGAATTGTTGACAAAGAACGGTAAATTAACAAAACGAAAATCTCATTCCAGCGATAAATAGCTGGCAAATGCGTTAGAACAACATGACGCATGAAGAATATCGGATAAATTTATTTGATATTTTTAACCAGTACATGAAATTTGAACGTTGTTTTCATTTTCCATTTCAATTTTTATGTAATGATTACAATAGAACAAACTCTTTTTAACAATCCATTATATTTTATTTTATTTCCAAGTCGCGGTAAAAGTATAGCTCGCTGATTCACAACAAACAACGAATCAGTGTAACAAAATGAAATTTAAGATCCATTCTTTGTAGATGCAAAAATCTACAATCAATAGCCATACCAAAATTGTAGATGTACAATATCTATTGGAAATGACAAAGCATATATTTGTTTTAAGAAATGTTGTGATCATTTACGATAGCACTATTTGGTCTTAAAGCAGTTTGTTTGAAACTTAAATAAAACTCAACCATAAATATAAACATTGCAAAATATCCAAAAACCTGAAATGAAATAAACGGATATAATAAATCGTTGTGTTTTAATTCTTTCGATAAGTATCACTTTGTTTACTTACAGCTGCGACCGTTAGATGATCATCAAAACGTTCAACGATCAGCGAAGATATCAACATAAAAACAATGGTTCCGATTGCGCTGAAGTATGATTCGATTTTGTGCCAATTTGCCTGCACTACAAAATCAACTTTCCACAGATACAGACCTAGCATGATCAAAGTGGCTATAAATTCGATCATTGACATAACAGAATAAAATACAACGACTCCAGAATTCCACAAACTCAATTGCGCACAACAGAATCCCACAAGCTCGAAGACCTACAATCAAAGCAGAATCATAACTTTTCAATAATGTATTTTGAATAAATGCAAATCTATATTGATTGCATACCAAACAAAATATCCTTAGGATGGCAGGTAACGTTTGAAGGCGTACAAAAGTGGGATTCATGATTTTCTTCAAAGTGAGGGCTGATTATAGTGAATTTGAAGCTCCAATTTTCATGAACACTCACTGCAAACTAATTCAAAAAGAGTTTTCTGTCTCAAATAAAAATGATATATTCTAATCTGTTTAATTACCACTACTATTGGTTTGTATTGTAATAGTGGTACTCTATTCACATGGGATGCAATGAGTACTGAGTAAAATATGCTCGTACACATTATATGTGTTCACACAGTTCAACTTCGTTTTTATCGTTTGTTATCTTTTCTTGAATTTTTTGTAAAAACATTTCATGATTCAAATTTGGGCAGTGTTTACAGCTGTGCCTCATACTAACAAAACCAATTGAGTCAGCATTGCGTTATCACTCGTAACTTATCAGGAAAATTGTGTGCATTATACATTGGAGGATGATAGAGAACAAAATACGTCTGATGAACTTTGTAGACACATGAAAAAGACTTCGAAAAATATCAGTCCACACACGTCCTTGCCAACAAACGATGTAATGTTGAAAAAACTAATGGGAGACAAACTGAAATTACTAATATCAATTCTAAAACAAACGTTAATGCTGCATCTGCAACGCAACATCGCTCGGGAATCTCAACTTTGCTTATAAAATTGAAATTGGTATTGACTTTCTCATCTCTGTGCTGAAAGTCGAACTCGCCTATATATACACGCAATTTCGAACTTTTTTCCTAAGGGGCCATCTGGTATGAATGAAGTATCGCTAGAAAGCCCCTAGCTCATAGGCCCAGAAAATCCATTCAAACTTGGGAATCGACCAACCGCCTCCATAGAAATACCCACTTGAAAATTATGTACAATTATCAGTTTTTCCCATTTTTTCTGAGTCTACTCGTCGAGACCTTTCCAACAAGCCCAAGGACGTCGAAATTGGACCATCCGTTCATGAGTTATGACGATTTAAAAAATTTCTTTGGCGTCTCCACCAATTATTCTGAGATAATATTTTTTCTGTCCTTCCGTCCGTCCGTACTTTTTGTCCGGTCTTTTTCAAACTTTCAGGCATTGAACTATATCAAAAACTAAGACTTTTTTGTTCCGCCACTTTTTGATTTGGCCGCCATCTTGGCCTTGGCCGGCATTTGAAAATTCAAAAAATGGCCCTCCTTCCAATGGCTACTGTGCCCAACCCTGTCAACCAATTTCAGATTTTTAAGTATCGTTGGAGGCCAGCTATCAAATGACATCTATTTTGATTAGAAAAAATTGAGTTGGCATGGTCTTATGGGCAGAAACCCAAAAAAATGATCACCTGGCCTTGCATAAATCGGCCATTTTCTCGAAAACGGCGCCGACGATTTTTTTAAAAATTCTCTGGAATTTGGCCCCAAGTTAGAGCTGAAATTTGACATATAGCTTATATCTGGCAAAACTCTGTTTTTCGAGATATAGCCATTAGAAGTTGGAAAAAACATGAAAAATCGAAAAAACAAACTAAAACTCATTTTTGTTGCCGTCAACAATGGCAAAATCATAACCAAAGTGTTTTTGCGTTCAGATGAATAAAATTCCTTCAGATACCAGCCTCTCACCAAGTCTTTTTATTCCACGCAATCAACAAAAAACGCAAAAAAGTACTTTTCATGAAAAAATCAAAATCAAAAAAATTCATCATGAAAAAACTAAACATGTGATAGTTTCTTAGTATAAAAGCAAAAACAAAACTTAGTATAAAAGCAACAAAATGTAATTTCATCTGTCTGTCCAAAAACCAAATTTTCTAGCAAATTTTATAAAACGAAAAAAAAAATTAAAATTTTTTTTCCTCCGGCGTGCGACTCGAACTCGAGTCCAAACGCTCATGAGTCTGCTTTCCCACCTACGCGCTGATTTTGCTTTATTCAAAAAGGCGACAATGCTGGTTTTTAACTACAACATATCATGTTTCATTTTCTTTGGCTCAATACACACCACTTTGTGTTTGTTTAGGGTTAGTTGGTTTTGATGAGAAAAAAAATTTCGGGTACAAAACAACTGATATCAAATTAAAAAAAACTTCTTTCGAAGTAATTCCTCGTGACGAAAGCGAACACAAAACAGCTGATATCAATTTTAAAAAATCATTTCGGAGCGATTTGGATTTGCTTTTTTTGCATTCTTCCAACTAATTTCAGAATCGCTCCGAAATGATTTTTTAAAATTGATATCAGCTGTTTTATGTTCGCTTTCGTCACGAGGAATTACTTCGAAAGAAGTTTTTTTTATTTGATAATTAATAACATGTTAATTACACAGTCCGACGCGTGTTTTTTATGGTACAAGAGCCGGATAAAGGTGTCAAACGGATGGACCGTCCGTCTTTTTTGTCCGTCTGTCCGTCCGTTCAGCTTGGTTGGACGGACGGACGGACAACAAAATTTTTGGGGGTTCTGAACGACGAACACGGACGGACAAGAAAATTCCTGAGGATCCTGAACGGACGTTGTCCGTTGACACCTTTATCTGGCTCTTGTGCCAAAAAAAAACACGCGGACTGTGTAATTAACATGTTAATAATTATATTAATTATACAATATTAATTATTTAAATTTGAAATAATATATTTACCCATTATAACGCATATTTTCAGTATCGCATAGGGTTGATATCGCCGACATATTTGAGTTCGTACGTCGTCCGATACTGAATCATCGTCATACCGCTGAACCAATATCGCAGATAGAAACGAACTTAAACGAACTATTTGCCCTATGCGATATTAAAAATATGATTTCCCAACACATTGAAATTCATGAAGAAAAACGTATCAATCTTCAAGCAACGATCAAAAGCGGTGTGTATAACTATTGTGTAAACATATTAATACATTTTAATTTAAATTAAAATTTATTTCAATAGTTTTAAAATAACAAAGGAAAATTCCCCGAAAATCAAGTATTTAGATACTTAGAAATGGAATAACTGGTCGTATAAAATCGGCGTAAAAATATGTTGTTTGCTAAATTTTTGATTGTATCGTCATTACTGCTTGTCTTGGGCATTTTTTCGAGCGATGCAACAAGCTTGCATGACGTTCGTAAATCTAACACAAGCCAAAGAAATGCTACAGATTTGAATACCGAAACGGAAGACTACATACATTTACATTGTGGCACTGAATCAAATGAAATTGGGTTCACAGAAAGTAAGTAAAGTTTACAGTTTCAGTATTTTCGTATTTGCATTGTGGAAAATCGTTGATTATTTCTTTTTAACTTCATTTTATAACTGCAATAAGCTCACTTCTAAATTAATTAATTGAAAATCTTTTTTTTGAATTACAATATAACAAAATTATTACCTATTTATTAAAACTTTTGCGGGAAATGATTCCTATTCAGTATTCAATCCGAAAAAAATATCAACACATCGATCTCGTCGACAAAAGAGAGATGTTGGTGCTTCTCAAAGTAATTTGGATCCAAATAATCCATACACAATTGAGGTTTTGGTAGTTGTGGATGAAACGATGCGAAGATTTCATAAGAGCATAGACAGTGATATGACGGAATATGTCTTATCACTTATGTCAATTACTGCAAATGTATTTGCAGACGCAAGCATAGGCAATGTGATAAATATAGCCGTTGTTGGTATCGAGGATCTCAATGAAGATCTCGGTGTAAGGCGTCTCTTTAAAGGTAATTCGAACATAAGTAGAGAAGATTTGAAATCTCTCAACTCCTAATAATTCAATCCAGGAAAAGACGCTGATAGCATGCTACAGAATTTCGAAAAATATATGAACAAGTTAAAAAATCGTGAATATGATGTTGGCTTACTTTTGACAAGGTGAAAACATGAATTCATTTGATTGAAGCTCAAAATTCTTTAAAAACTGTCTGAATTTCACAGAGAAAATATCTGTTTAGATAAAGGCTGTTGGACGTCGGGGCTAGCTGCGGTTGGTGGTATATGTTCGTTACAATCGTACGCGATTGTTGAAGATTCTGGCTTATCGACGGGATATACCATAGCTCATGAAATCGGCCATCTGTAAGTTGATCAACAGGAGGTTCGACATATAATGTCTTAAGAGCTTAACCCAAATCTTTAATCTGTTCCATTTTATGCAGCTTGGGCGCTTATCATGACGATGAAGAAGACAAGTGCTCTAAATTTTTGCATACAAAACAAATGCATACTATGGCTCCGAGTTCAAATTCCGACGTCAAAATTTGGTCGTGGTCATCTTGTTCGCAACACTTTATAACACAATTTTTAGAGTGAGTGTGATTGTTATGATTAGGGCTAACCAAAATATTTACGAAAAATCCTGAAATATTTATATAATATTTACGATAAATATTTGAGATAAAAAACTTTATTGATGAAAAATTGGACCCAATAATGAATTAGCTGTAATTACTACAGTCAATAATGACAGTCCTTAGTAAATTTTCAAAAGTGGATGATCACTGACAGTCTTTTGATCCACTTTTGTACTCTGAAAGGGTGGACGTCGCACCGAAAAAAACGATACCAGTGTAAAGTTCGATTTCCTACGCGCACGTCTAAGAAATGGGATTTTCAAAATTCACTCTATCTGGTGTAAAGCAGGTTTCGCGGCAAAATAATAACGAGTGTAACGTAAAAATTTCGTCTTCAAGAAGAAAATCTTCAAGGAAATCGAATTTTGGAAGTGTAAACCACCGCCAGAAAAAAGTGATTACCGGAGATAGTACTGTAAGATAATCAGAATTGAAAGATCGAGCTTACACTATCGTGCACTAGTATGCAGTATGATGTGTACGAGTTCACATTCAAGCATTCGAAGTGTAAACGTCTTTCGCTTAAAAAGTTTACAATTAGTATGTGAGGATCGTGAGACTGATAGAAGAAACAAATACTTCATTCTTCGTATCTTCGTTAACAATTTATATCATAGCATTCACAAACACAATGATGAATTCTGTTTTTTATGTTATTCTTTCGCTTGGTTTTTAGCACTACATGAAATGTAGAGCTACTAATCTGCTTTTTTTTCGTCTAGATACTTTTTGAGTGTTGAAACAAATTATGGTGAATTTGAATTTTATGCTCATATTTTTTATTTAATTTAAAACAGTGGCAGTAACGACAAATAGGTGCATAATATCTCAAAGCTAATAACTAAAAACTCGGGAACGCAGAGCGGAGCAAAGCGAAGCTCTGCGGTCTTGTTTCTGCCTCTGTGTATAAGTAGATCAAAAACCAATGACCGTATTCGCCTTAAGACGATTTTCCTCATTCAAACATACTTTGAGGTGAAATTCCTATGAAAAATTTCCAGAATATGTGAAAAATGTACAAAATATTTACAAAAAATGACAAATCGTCCGAATATTTATTGATCCCGAAAAATGCCGAAAATACTTATTTAAATATTTATTCACAGTGGAACAATTTTCAAACAGTTTGAAAGAACTTGACCGTGACTATGCGGGGACGAAAGTAGACCTATAGCTGATTATTTGGAACCCCAGCTGGGTTTTGCCGAATTGGCAGGGGATCTCATTTTTTCGACCTAGGCGTTTTTTCAATAACATGGTTTTTCGGCGATATGAACTATGTCAAATTTTAGTCAATAAATCGTTCGTTTTTGGTGATAGCTTATTACTGTTTTTGGTGATAGCTTATTACAATGTAGCTGAGAGTCCATTGAACAAATGTTATGAACATTTTACACATGAAAAATCACATCTTGTAGGTGCTGTGGAACAAAATGTCGAAAAAATGGACGATTTTTTCAATTTTTCGACCATAACTCATAAAATATCCATTTTTTGTTTTCTCTCTTCGGCATTGTAGCCAGTGTCAAACTAAATAACTCTCTTGAACACATTATCCCAAAAAAATCACATCTAGCCCACTTTTTTGGCTCAAAGTCACTTGTCGCTACCAAACGATATCATCGAGCATTTTCGGAGTTCTATAACTTCGTAACTACTCGAAATAGAGCAATAGTTTATGAAGCAACTTTTTTGTATTGGGTGTGGGAATTAGTTTTTTCGATTTTTCAAAAGATGGCGTAACTTTGCATGGTTGTATCGGGCAATACATTTTTCTTTTTCGCATGAGAGGTCTAGTGTCAAACTACAAAAATCACCATCTATCATTTCATCGAAGTGTAAATGACCAATTTTTTTTGCGCCTTAAATATGTCAAGTTTTGTACCGAAAAAGCAACATTTCCGGGAAGCATTAATTGTTTGCTTTCATTTGAAGAAAACTGCGGCTGAAGCGCATCGAATGTTGGTGGAAGCCTATGGTGAGCATTAGGGTGTTTTCGGTATTAAATAAACAGAAAATGGTAGTTTTAGTTTGATAGAGCAGAGACTTTGGAATCGATTTCATATATTTTTGTTCGGAATCAGTCCAAGATGCCACTTCCCACAAGCAAAACAAATGTTCGTCGAATTTTGAGGTTATATTACTATTCGCTGAAACTAATCTGATATTTTCTACTTTTTTCAATTCAATCTCACTGCCAGAGATGAATTCTCAATGCAAACATTTATTTTCACGTAATTTTTATTGAAATAAGTGGCCAAATAGTCGAAAATTCAAACAAATTGTATTGCCCCTTTGACCGGATCTTCAATCATAGAAAAAACACCGACAAACTCATTTTTTTCACAGAAATTCATTCAATGAGTTTGAAATAGACGATAAATTATCTAAATCCACTAAAATATCCAATTGAACAAAACCAATAAGGCCAAATTGCCGCAAAACCAAAACGTAAACAAAAAAGAGCTGTCATTATGAAATTCGGGCTTAGTTTGATGTTTGACAAGACCAAAATACATCTGCGCGAATCACTGTGTGCGAATTGACTGTGATTCATTCGCACAAGTGCATTGGTAGCCCTTCAAAATGTCAAAGAAGCCCAGATTTCATGATAACAGCTCGTTTTTGTTTACGTTTTGGTTTTGCTGCAATTTGGCCTCCCTGGTTTTGTTCGATTGGATATTTTAGTGGATTTAGATAATTTATCGTCTATTTCAAACCTATTGAATGAATTTTTTTGAAAAAAATGAGTTTGTCGGTGTTGTTTCTATGAAATTATTAGGATGGTTATTAAGATACGAATATGGCACAGCTATACTAAATCCTCTCAATGGTTCTGGACAACTATAGGTGATGCTACGTAGTACTAAATAGTACTAAAATTGACAGAATTGAACTGTTACAGACCCTCATGAACGTTACTCGCTGAAATATCGGTATTTAGTTCAATATTGGCCCCGTACATCTCGTGGATTTTCAGCTGTTTGGACTGTAATATTTTTAAGGTTTATCCAAATATTTCAGCAAGTAACGTTCATGAGGGTCTGTAACAGTTCAATTCTGTCAATTTTAGTACTATTTAGTACCACGTAGCATCACCTATAGTTGTCCAGAACCATTGAGAGGATTTAGTAGTTTTTAGTACATTTTAGTACTCTTTTAGTACGTTTAACACTTGGTATGCAAAGTCCATGAGAAGTACTAAGAAGTTGCTTCAGAAACTATTGCTCTATTTCGAGTAGTTAGGAAGTTATAGAACTCCTAAAATGCTCGATGATATCGTTTGGTAGCGACAAGTGACTTTGAGCCGAAAGAGTTGTTTAGTTTGACGCTGGCTACAATAATGCCGAAGACAGAAAACAAAAAAATTGATATTTCATGAGTTATGACCGAAAAATTGAAAAAATCGTCCATTTTTTCGACATTTTGCTCCACAGCACCTACCCAGCTGGGGTTTTACTCAGCTATAGGTCTACTTTCGTCCCCGCATAGTCACAGTCAAGTTCTCTTGGGGCTGTTCCACTGTGTTATTTACTTAAATATTTTGGTTAGCCCTGGTTATGATATCTATGAATCGATGACTGAACGACTTTTATTTTAATTTCATTATTCATTCTTTCTTTTCAAAATTGATCAGAGACGAAAAAGGACCTTGTTTGTTGAATAAACCATCAATTAATATGTTAAAATCATATTCGATAAACATTCCATCTCACAACAAACAGTGTCAGATGGCCTATGGTATTTCATCCAAAGCAATAATGTATACAACTAATAAGGATCGTGTAAATATATAATCGTTTCGTTAAAAATAGTTCACCAAGGTAATGATCAAAAAATAATTTATTCATCTGCAGATTTCCTGTAACCGAATGCGATGTCAGACAGATAAACAGGTTTATTATATGCCATGGGCTGAAGGAACTGAATGTGATGTTGGAAGATATTGCTGTCGAGGAGAATGTATTGAACTGAGGAAGCTCGATCAAATCAATGGCGGATGGAGTGATTGGAAAACGTAACGATGTGTGAACTTTTATCATTTTCACATCAATATTCATGGTTGCTTTTCATCCTCATTTAGAACCGGTCAATGTACACGGTCTTGTGGTGGAGGCATACAATGGTATGCCCGCGAGTGCGATAATCCAATTGCAAAAAATGGTGGCAGATTTTGTGTGGGAATGCGTAAAACATACAAGTCATGTAATACTCAGGATTGTCCCGTCGGAACAATGGATTTCCGCGAGAAGCAGTGCATTGCTATGAATAACCGCACTCATAAGTGGACTGCGGCATATAATTTTCATCCAGAAGATCAATGCGAATTGGCTTGTAAAATTGTCAACACGAACACCGTTCAATGGTTCGACCGACATGTAAGAAAATGAAAAACCATTTGTTGATCAATTGACCCTCCGAAGGAGAAAAATAAAGCTATATTTATTATTGACAGGTGATCGATGGCACATCTTGCAGCCAAAATACTTTTGACAAATGTGTCAATGGTATTTGTCGACCGGCTGGATGTGATAATAAATTGAATTCCAAATTAAAATTGAACAGTTGTGGAGTTTGCTATCGAAATGATGCGATGTGTAATCATTATTCTCAAACATATTCAGCTGAACAAATTGTCAAATTAAATCAATTCAAGAGATATTCCAAATATTTCGATGTCACAACAATACCAAAAGGAGCTGTAAACGTGGAAATCGTTCAATTCGGACATCCTGGAGACGGAAACTATATTGGTGAGATAATGCCAATATAAAATTAAAAGACGGTTGAAATAACTCGAATTTTTTGCAACACAGTTTTCGAGAATGAAAAAGAGGAACTCACCCGCTTTGGCCAATCATTCACTAGTCCTGTGACAATAACATATACTTATAATGGATTTGATTTTCAATACACCTCTGATGAAACCACGGTAAAAATGACTGCACTTTCATCCAAACGTTTGCCGTACGATCTAACCGTGAAAGTAAGTGGCATAAATTATGGGAAAACATAATACCAAAACTAACTATTATTGTACTATAATTTCGTACAGATTTTCTTGGATGGTAAACAAAAACGAGATTTGATTCGCTATTCCTATTGGATCAAAAACAAAAATTTCACGGAAACAGACACTTCTGGTACAGATGCACATCAACGCCGCCCGGTGTTGTCATTGCTCACGTCTTTGATCATGATGATACTTATTTACTTATATCAATAATTAAAAAAAAAACATGTAGGCAATAGGAGTTAAGATCTTCGAATAAAGTCTTTTCATTGAAAACGATTGAATCCTCCAATTTACTTCCAAATCATTTGTTTGCAATAAACGTATACGACTCTCTAAAACGCATACGCGCAAGATACAGTAAAACCTGTCAATAACGGAACCTGGGAATAGTGGAAATCGTGTCAATAGTGGAAAAAAAATTTGGTCGTTGAGCTCTCCCATACAAAATGACCTGTTAACCTTTACACCGTGAATGGTTTTTTCGACATATATCCGTGAATCTGGGTCAGATTGACCCATAATGCATTTTATATGGAAATCGGCTGTTTTTCATGCAAATTAACTGGCACAACACTGGTATTTTATGGAAAATCAATTTTATTCGACTTTATGGGTTTGAATGTGTAGTTTATGAATCACATGTGAGTACACATGTGTGGATTACATATGTTTTGGTAGAAAAAATAGAAGAAAAAAAGTATGTTTAACACTATGACTGTTCTTTATATTTGCAACATATTACTGTTCTTGGGGGACTCCAGGGCCCCATATGTATTTCATATGAAATCTGGACTGTTATAAGAGATAACAAATAAGTGTCTGAAGCAAAGTTGTAATACTCGAGTTTTGCGATAATTTGGTTGCCACAAATATTGCTTTTCTCTTATCAGTTTCGCGAAAAATGATAAGCGAAAACTCGCGTTTTTCGCGTTTTTTCGCGTAACTGATAATAGATATCGACTTGATGTCTATGACAAAGTTGTAGTACTCAAGCTGTTCTACAACTTTGCCGAAGACACCAAGTCGTTATCTCTTATCAATTTCGCGGAATACGCGAGAAACCGCGAAAAAACGCGTTTATTCCTTATCATTTTTCACGGAACTGATAAGAGATAACGAGATGGTGTCTGAGGCAAAGTTGTAGTTCTGGTCGAGTACTACAATTATTCCGATTCATTATTTCGTTATCTCTTATCAGTTCCGTGAAAAAATGATAGAGAAAAAACGCGTTTTTCGCGGTTTTTTGCGGTTTCTCGCGTAATTGATAAGAGATAACGGAATAATGAATCGGAATAATTGTAGTACTCGACCAGAACTACAACTTTGCCTCAGACAATATCTCGTTATCTCTTATCAGTTCCGTGAAAAATAATAAGGAAGAAACGCGTTTTTTCGCGGTTTTCTGCGGTTTCTCGCGTATTCCGCGAAACTGATACGAGATAACGACTTGGTGTCTTCGGCAAAGTTGTAGAGCAGCTTGAGTACTATAACTTTGTCGTAGACATCAAGTCGATATCTCTTATCATAGTCCAGTTGTGTACTGAAGAAATAGTTGGGTCAATGTGACCCAGATTCACGTATAGAGCATGTGTGTGTTTTAGCGGCACATGTCACACATACGTCGCATATCTGCCGTATACACATGATTTTGTAGAAAGAGGAAAGTCCAATGAACACAAACATATCCATATTTCGTCATAATTGTTATATTTGGCTGTGCTATGAATGTTCAAAGTTTTGTCTGGGTCAATTTGACCCAGTTCACGGTGTAAAGGTTAATAACGGAAAGCCGAAACTCCGAATAGTGGAAAAAAATTTCTTGACGAAAAAATTTTTCGTCGTTTATTCATCTCTTTTTCATATAAAACTAATTTTTTTCCTTTATCAAAACCACTGATCATCATAAAAATTGTGCAGTACAATTTGAGCAAAATCGACACACTTCACTAAATACAAAAATCATGAAACACTTTTCAAAGGACAAGTCGCAAACTTTTGAAAGCTGATCGTCTTATATCAAAATCAACAATTCCAGACGCACTCTTAGAATTTTTCAACATAAGAATGACATAAATACGTAGAAGCTTCTGAGTTACCTAACGAACGCACAAACGAAGACACAACAACGGAGAAAACACAAGCAAGAGAATGTGCGCGCTACACTCATTCGCCTTCTACTCGGTTCGTTCATCGAGCGAACGGTTTCTGTGTATATTTGACAATAAGGTTCAACTGCGTTCGTTGGGTAACTCAGAAGCTCCTGCGTATTTATGTCATTCTTATGTTGAAGAACTTCAAGAGTGCGTCTGGAATTGTTGATTTTGACATAAGACGATCAGCTTTCAAAAGTTTGGGACTTGTCCTTTATCGCATTGGGTCCCTTTTCGGTTTAACATTCGTCACACAAAAATATCCAACTAAATTTATGATTTCGGTAATTTTATTAGCGCGTCGTCACCAGAACAAAATGAAATTGGTCAAAAGAAATTACAATTTTTGTTGTTGTTTTTTTTTTACGTTGAGGAAGACCGTGAAAGGAAGAAAGAAAGAAAAACACAAATTCGTACAACTAAACCGTGTCTCGCGAAGTCCGTAGCAATAGAACAATTTCGATCAACTGATTCAAGAGTCGCAAATAACAAACAAACTAGTACTAGTTCCACCATCGCTAAACGCGCTAAACGTCATATCATTTCTGTGGAGACATTTACCAATACGTATTGCATTTTACGTATACAATGTTGTTTTGACGTAAGACAAAAGATGGCGCTGATTGCATCCATCATTTTGAATTTACGTGGCAATGTAATCTGATTGATCGCTGCCAAATTGATAGTGCAAAAAATGAGTATCATTTACCTTCCCATTTTGAGTCATTGTTTGAACTGCTTGATTATTTTAAAAAGTGATGTTTGTCATTCACTCAGTGAATTTCACTGTTTTTTCACTTTCGTTTTTCCTTCATTCATTTAGTAAAAAAATACTTTTATTTCATTATTTCCTTTTCACGTTCATTATATCACTTGATTTGATAATTGAATACCCATAAAAATGTATGTTTTGTTTCTTTTTACCCTCAATAATGGAAAATCTTGTTTGAATCGACTCAAAAACCTCTGAATAACGGATCCTGTGAATACTGGAATTCTTGTCAATAGTGGGAGAAAAAAATTCCCCACGGGATTCCGTTATTGACAGGTTTTACTGTACTGACAAAATCAAGCTACTCAGAGTAACGAGTTATAATTTCAATGAGTTTAGGAGTTTAAATTAAAGTAAAATGGAATTGATTTAAGTTGAATACGAAATTGAAATACCAGCAATTTGATGTCCGTGAACATCAATATTGGTGACAAGCAAGCTTCACTTTTTTTCCACTACGAAGTAAACGGGCGCTGCGTGCAAGTTTCTGCATGTCACTTCCATGGTTGATAAAGGACTTAATAACCCAAGCGTAAACGCAACAGGGTTTTTCGGAGTTGTGACTGTGCGTCCAGATATTAACAAGAATTGTATCAAGAGCGACACGTAGGATTGGAATGATATGACTGGGAATCGAAGATCCAGACGTCGGATATGGAAACCGGCAGTTAGGAGCAAGCTAGAATAAGGATCTTTGAAAGGATTGTTTCGATGTATGATGAACAAAATGTGTGATTAAAGACGATCTGCCGTCCACAATTGATTATCATTAAATGGAAATGTATACCCAGACAATCCTCTTCACACTGGTATGTGTTCGCCTCAGATGACTTGACAGATGGTACACATTCTTCAAAGCATTCTTGAGGTCATGTCGACGTAAGAAATAATGAATATTGAGACTTGTCCATGCTGTTGACTCAACAGTGAGTGTATGAGTGTGCTACTTGATATTTTGAAATGTATTTTCTGTCCTTTTCAACAGCTATCGTGGGCTAGCAAAGGAAGGCACCGACTCATAAAAACTTATTACGTCTGGATGAGTCAGGAAATGCGTACCATATCAATGAGTATGAATGGGAATTCGGTGATTTATTAAATAAGACGTAAAAATTCATTAAAGTATGAATTTAAGAGGGATAAAATCGAATTCCATACTGTTTAATGTTCAACTAATGAGATGACTATTTTTATTTTCAATTTTTTATAAATCTCAATGGTTTACAGATTATTACCCCCACATTTTGAACTTTGCAATAAATAGGTTCGATATGCCTGAATAGGGATCATTCATTTTATTCTTTCATTGGATATTCATAATAATAATTATAGAACACGTTGGATAGGAATAATGCCTTGGAAATTTTTTATCGCATTTTGTTTATTGTTAGTGTCAGGCTGTTTTCAGACCCATTCAAGCGTATTGAATAAAGCTCATGAAGTTAAAAGTAGAAGCAGTACTATCAAAACCAGTGGTAGTAGTAAACATAACGGAAAAACTGTTATACATTCAAAATGTGGTAGCAAATCGCAACAAATCGGACATTCAAAATGTGAGTAAAATGAAATGTAGAAAGCGTGTGGAGAAAATGCTAAATCATTAGATGCTCATAATCAACCTATTTTCAAGTTAACCAATTGCTCATAGAGTAGCAAACTTTGTAATTGAAGAATAATCCCATCAAAGTTAATTCGACTTCGTTCATTTATAATTCATTATGTACGCTACAGTGAGATACGAATATGAACCAGGTCCAGTAACTGAGACTACAACATCAACACATCGATCGCTTCGACAAAAGAGAGATGTAAGTGCTTCTCAACATAACTCGGATCCAAATAATCCATACACAATTGAGGTTTTGGTAGTTGTGGATGAATCGATGCGAAGATTTCATAAGAGCATAGACAGTGATATGACGGAATATATCTTATCACTGATGTCAACTACTGAAAATGTATTTGCAGACGCAAGCATAGGCAATGTGATGAATATAGCCGTTGTTGGTATTATGAATCTCGAGATAGATCTCGGGGCTATACCTTACGGTGAAGGTAATTTCATGATCAAATTATATAAAATCATGAGCTGTCAATAATCTTCAATCAATCTAGGAAAAGACGCTGACAGCATGCTACAGAATTTCGGAAATTATATGAACAATAATTCAAAAACTCGGCAATATGATGTTGGATTACTTCTAACAAGGTGAATAATAATATGTTCGATTGAAGCTTTCAGTTAGACTTTCTGACGATTTTTCGATTTTTCGATTTTTCGATTTTTCTCAGAGAAAAACTTTGTTCGCATGGGGAGTGTGAAACATCTGGAATAGCTACAGTTGGTGGAATGTGTTCATCACAGTCGTACGTCGTTGTTGAAGATTCAGGCATATCGAAAGGGCATACCATAGCCCACGAATTTGGTCATCTGTAAGTGAATTATAAAAAGTGTCTCTATAGACTATTGTGATTCAGTCAATTTACCGAATCTTGAATGCTTTGTCTAGCTTAAACGCATACCACGATGACGATGATGAATGTTCGAAGTCGTTGCACAGTAAGCAAATGTATACGATGTCTTCAGTTTCTCGTTCTGGGAATAAAATGTGGTCGTGGTCACCTTGTTCGCGTCAATACATAACAGAATTTCTAGAGTGAGTTAGCGCTCTGTTAGAATAGTTGTTGAATGAAAATGATCAAAAGGGCAGTTTACATAATTCATTTTCATTTCTTTTTTCATAGGAACGAAAAAGGATCCTGTTTGTTAAATAAACCATCGAATAATATACTGAAATCACACCGAGTTTCTATACCAACCTTGAACAGACAGTGTCAATTGGCATATGGAAGATTTTCCAAAGCAAGAGCAGGATCTGGCAGTGGAGTGAGATCTAGAGTGAGATATTACTTTGCCATATGTTCAAGTGTTTTCAAAAACGATCCAGAACTCATCGTTGAAATTGTTCTTCTGCAGATTTCATGCATGGAAATGGATTGCATAACGGACCAAAGTTTTTATATGCCATGGGCTGATGGAACTAAATGTGATGTTGGAAAATGGTGTTACCGAGGAGAATGTGTTGAACTGGGAAAGCTCGATCAAATCAATGGCGGATGGAGTGTTTGGAAAACGTAACGATGTGTGAACTTTTATCATTTTCACATCAATATTCATGTTGCTTTTCATCCTCATTTAGAATTGGCCAATGTTCACGGTCTTGTGGTGGAGGCATACAATGGTATGCCCGCGAGTGCGATAATCCAATTGCAAAAAATGGTGGCAGATTTTGTGTGGGAATGCGTAAAACATACAAGTCATGTAATACTCAGGATTGTCCCGTCGGAACAATGGATTTCCGCGAGAAGCAGTGCATTGCTATGAATAACCGCACTCATAAGTGGGCTGCGGCATATAATTTACATCCAGAAGATCAATGCGAATTGGCTTGTAAAATTGTCAACACGAACACCGTTCAATGGTTCGACCGACATGTAAGAAAATGAAAAACCATTTGTTGATCAATTGACCCTCCGAAGGAGAAAAGTAAAGCTATATTTATTATTGACAGGTGATCGATGGCACATCTTGCAGCCAAAATACTTTTGACAAATGTGTCAATGGTATTTGTCGACCGGCTGGATGTGATAATAAATTGAATTCCAAATTAAAATTGAACAGTTGTGGAGTTTGCTACCCAAATGATGCGATGTGTAATCATTATTCCCAAACATATTCAGCTGAACAAATTGTCATATTGAATCAATTCAAGAGATATTCCAAATATTTCGACGTCACAACAATACCAAAAGGAGCTGTAAACGTGGAAATTGTTCAATTTGGACAGCTTGGAGACGGAAACTATGTTGGTGAGAAGATAATAAATATTAGAAAGACTAAAGGTTGAAATAACTCAAATTTTTTGCAACACAGTTTTCGAGAATGAAAAAGGGGAACTAAACCACTTTGGCAAACCATTTACTGATCCTGCGAAAGCAATTTATATTCACGATGAAGTTGATTTTCAATATACGTCTGATAAAAATACGGTAAAATTGACCACCTCTGAACATTTGCAACGCGAATTGCAAATAAAAGTGAGTAATCAATTGTCAAAACCCTTATATCATCATTAATTGATCAACTCTTTTATCGATTTTACATTAGATTTTCTTAGTTGGAAAACAAAAACAAGATTTGATTCGCTATTCTTATTGGATCAAAAATGAGGATATCTTGATTTTTACATGAATGGTCCATGACTTATGGAATGACTAAAGGCCCAAAAAATCTCACTTTTAGTCATTCCACACTATCTTGAACGCCAAAGAGTGATAAACAACATCGGGGCAAACTTCATATTTTTGGGAGCCCATAACCATAAGTTTTTTGAATGATACTGGGCGGTATCAAATAAAATATAACAAAATATACGACATAAAATGTGTTTGCGTTATTCAAACTAAACTTTTCAAAGCAACTGAATCAAAAAACATTAAAAAATAACAAAACGTCAATGACATGGCTAAATTCGTTGTTGATATCAGACTCCAGACTCTAATAATCAGAATTCATGGAAGTTATGCGCTATAAATAAAAATACATTTTTAAATACAATGTGGATATCACTACGGACGGAAATTTGTCACTTTCAAAACATTCTTGATATCATTAAACATACATTATAATTAGAAGCTATGCTTGCTTTCGACCCATAATTTTGATTCAAAGAGCAGACGCATGTCGAGCTATAACAAGCATTTCTCTTGTTCCAACCAAGTTCAAGTCAATTAATCTAAGTCATAGAATAATAGTTAGTGTCCGAATTTTGATTTGCAATAACAAGATGCTGTGTTTATTTTTGCTCTCGTTATTGTCCACATCTACTCAGACACAATCGCTGTTTCTGAAACAATCTGGTCAATACTTAGGTAAACATTTGACTGAACTCAATAAAAACCAGAAGACTGAAACGATTAACCAAATAAATTTGAATTGCGGTAATGAACAGGCGGAGAATGTCAAGAAACGTATGTAAAATGTGCAAAAACGTGTATTTTTTGTTTATTCATAAAATAGATTTGGCAAAAAAAAAAGTTGCAACCGTGAAATATTTTACTTTTAGGTGATAAAAGTACAAATGTTGACGCTTTGAATCCATATGACGATTCTATCAAAACAACTCAAAAACTTTTCCGAAGTAAGCGAAATGTCAACACATTTTATACTGAAGCAGGCAAAGATCATGCATACACAATTGAGACGCTGGTCGTCGTAGATAAAACGACGCGAAAATTTCATGGAGTGAATAATATCAAAAATTATGTTTTGATGCTCATGTCAATAGCATCAAATATTTTTGCTGATGTTAGCATTGGAAACTTGATAAATGTAGCTGTTGTTGATATCATATTGCTCGAAGATGATCTGAACGTGAAATCTCTGTATTCCGGTAAATCGTCATCGTTAAAACCACATTTCATATTTATTGAAATCAAAATCTCATTTAATTTTTGAGTTTAGGTAAATACGCCAATTATACGCTTTGGAATTTCATTGACCGTATGAAGAGTAAACAGAAAAACAAACATGATGTGGGCTTACTTTTAACTAGGTAGACATTTTTGTTGCGTAGTCTCTGGCAACATCGATTCAATTTCATTGATTTTCAGAGAGAATCTGTGCTTAAATGAAGAGTGCCTTACATTGGGCTTGACTCAAACGGGAAGTATGTGCTCGTCAAATTCTTATGCAGTTGTTCAAGACATTGGTTTATCTTCCGGATATCATATAGCCCATGAAATAGGTCATCTGTACGTTGCATACATTTTGTTCATACGAAAATTTTCTTCTCGATGATAATGTGATATGTGCTTAAAACGGAACTTCAATCGTCAATTCTATCTTTCTATTTCTTAGTTTGGGTGCCTTACATGACAATCGCCCTGAATGTTTACCATATCAAAACAATGACCAGACACATCTTATGGCTTCGGCATTGCATATTGGAACAGACATGTGGTCGTGGTCACCTTGTTCACGGCATTTTATAACCGAGTTTTTAGAGTAAGTTATTCAAATATTAGAACAGCATGTGTATCACTTGATACACATCAAGACTGATGTTTTTCTGCATTCATGTAGGCAAGACAAAGCATTTTGTCTATTGAATAAACCGACTGTTGATATGCTAGAATTACACCGGGTCAATGAAGTAATACCCAGCCCAAATGAACAATGTCAACTATCTCTGGGATTGAATGTCAAAGCGGTTATGGTGCATGATTATGGCAAAGTAATGCAATAATGAATGAACTTTACACGGAAAAAATGTTAGAAAATATTTAATTTGTTGCAGATTTCATGTGATTATATGCTGTGCCAATTGGGTAACGGATCATATCATACATACAATATGCCCTGGGCTGATAGAACCGCATGTGATGTTGGAAAGTGGTGTAAACAAAGAAAGTGTGTAAAAGAGGCAAATCTCAAGCACGTCGATGGCGGATGGAGTCAATGGAAATCGTAAGCATTGGTATGCAATTTGCAGATTGAATCAATGCATAATTGTTTGCACTTCTATATAGAGATGGACAATGTAGCCGGTCTTGCGGTGGAGGTATTCAGTTATTGAGTCGAAAATGTGATAATCCATTGCCTGAAAAGGGTGCAAAGTACTGTGCAGGTATGCACAAAATGTACGAATCATGTAATACACAAGCTTGTCTGATTGAAACCTTCGATTTCCGCGAAAAACAATGCAACAATATGAACAATTCTACTCATAGCTGGACAGCGACTCATGACGTATATTCAGGTGATGAATGTAAATTGATTTGTACAAATGAGCGTACGAAAGAGAGTTCAATACTGAAACCAAAGGTAACGAAATGAACAATGTTTTGATGAACTCGGAAGTAAGTTTTCTGTAATGTTTAGGTGATTGACGGAACGCCTTGTAATAAGAAATCAAATGATAAATGTGTCAATGGAGTTTGTCGACCGGCTGGATGTGATAATAAGTTGTATTCTAAAGCAAAATTGAATAAATGCGGTGTTTGCAATTTGAATGACGACGTTTGCGAGGACATTCTCGGCATATTTTCAAAAGAAGAATTGGATAAAGCGAGGAACTACAGTAAACATCCCGATTATTACCATGTTGGTAGAATACCAAAAGGAGCTACAAACATTGAGATCCTTCAGCTCGGTCTTCCAGCAGATGGAAATTACATCGGTATAAAAAAATAATCATTTCTTAATCCAAATTAAAACACACGTCTTCAATCATGCGCACTTCAGCTTTGGCAGGAGATCGAGGCGAATACATTTTGAATGGTGATCGAATCATCAGTCCCTATCCTAAAGATTTGTCGTATGGTGGAGTCACTTTCGAATATACAGGGACCAATATGACCAGAGAAAAAGTCAGTACACCATTCGCTATGCCTTTGCAACGCGAATTAATCATAGAGGTACATATTTCCCAAAGTCAGAACAATTGATCAATCCAATCAAACAATTTGTTTCTTTCAAGATTTTATCGACTGAGAATCACTTTGAAAATGAAAATCTGATAAACTATCGATATTCCATTAAAACGGATCACTATTGGAAATTAGAGTGGTCACAGGTAAAATTATAAAATTCAATTTGAATTAATTAAAATGATTGCTTTAAAATGTGTATTCATTCTTAGTGTGCGATCGAATGTAGAATTCAGAGTCTCCAATTCATTTGTATGCGAAAGTATCGAAACAAAACGATTCAAGAGCAATTAGTCAACGCGAGCTATTGTCATAATATAAAAATGTCGTCTGTTGGATCAAAAACACGATTGTGTGCAGGCTCGAAGGAATGCATCATTCCTAGAGATTCAGAAAGCACTGATAATGACTTCAGTCCAGGAATATTAGCATTGATTATTCTTATAAGTTTCATTATAATTATTTCAATTATGACTGTAATTATCCATTTTTATTTCCAACATTTTATTCATTTGTGTCTAAAACAGTTGTATCATTAATAGTAAGTGTTGTAAATTTAAATTCGCGTGAAATGAAATACAGTGTGATTTGGGTAAAATGCTTATTTTATTCATCTTGGTTTACAAACATATGATTTTGCACTAAAAAAAACTTGAATAACCTTAAATTAGAACGGAGTTGAATGATAGCGATTGCTATTTGTTTTCGATAACAGTGAAAAATAAATTACGATATAAGAAAAAATTGATTGGAATTTAGAAGTACGTTTTACGAAGCCATGTTTAAAAAGCCAAAAGGGGTTGATGCTCCTACGTTGATTGTGTTGGAGCGGTCGATGCTGAAAGGGAGATATCAAATATTAAAATTCATCTCTCGAATATTAAACCGAACTATTAAAACCTAATAGAGAAGTAAATGCACATACGTGTTGTTGAACCACCACCACTGCCCCCCGCATTTCCACTGGTTGAGCCAGTTCTAGCCGTCGATGGTGTAGATGATGATGTGCTCGATGTAGAGGAGCTAGTGGTGCTGGAAGTCGATCTTGAGCTTGAGCTTGTGCTGGATGTCGTACTGCCGCCATTATTGCCGCCACCGCCACCGCCGCCGCCACCGCCGCCGCCACCGCCACCGCCACCGCCACCGCCGCCACCGCCGCCGCCGCCAATTGGGATAACCTAAAGACAGGGAAATCGACCATTACACTTGATTTTCTCATACACATAGTCATATGGACTGGTTTTCTTTGGATCTGAATCGATTGACTTACGAAACAGTATTTGCCCTTGCATCCTCGGCGTCTTCGGTATCTTCGCTTCTTGCTATTGCGTTTCTTGCTGCTCTTGCAATTCGTTGACCTACACTTCTTCGACTTTTTACATGATTTGCATCTCGACGATGACGATGACGATGACGATGAGCTTCCGCTTCTCGAAACAGAAACTATTATACGTTTGTTCTTTTGAAGGCTGCTTGCTCTGCTTCGTTTGGCCGATGTAAATGAATTTCCTAAGCCACCTGATCCACTCCCACTGCTTCCGGATTTAAATGACATTCCTAAGCCACCTGATCCGCTCCCACCGCTTCCGGATTTAAATAACTTTCCTAAGCCACCTGATCCGCTCCCACCGCTTCCGGATTTAAATGACTTTCCTAAGCCACCTGATCCACTCCCACTGCTTCCGGATTTAAATAACTTTCCTAAGCCACCTGATCCACTCCCACTGCTTCCGGATTTAAATAACTTTCCTAAGCCACCTGATCCACTCCCACTGCTTCCGGATTTAAATAACTTTCCTAAGCCACCTGATCCGCTCCCACTGCTTCCGGATTTAAATGACTTTCCTAAGCCACCTGATCCACTCCCACTGCTCCCGGATTTAAATGACTTTCCTAAGCCACCTGATCCACTCCCACTGCTTCCGGATTTTAGCGCATTCGCATACGCCAATGGGTCTGGCAAGGCTATGGGTTTGGCCTCGGCTTCAGGTTCAGCTTCAGCCAAGGCTGCTGGTTCCGGCCCCGGCTCAGGGTCCGGGTCAGCAATGGGCTCACAAACTGTGAGCTATTCGAATGAAGATAAATAACATATCAGTTTGAAATCAATGTTAATGATTGATTTTTTCTCAAATTTTCTAAAGTTTTTAATTTTCACTCACCACGAACGAAGTTGCGAACAGTAAAAGTAATACTTTTGACAGCATTTTGAATATTTTTCAATGCTGCCTTAGATAGTGAAAGTCAAATGATAAAACCTTTTTGACGACGGTCTTTTATATCAAAATCTTTACCTTGGCGACGCGGAAAATCTTACGAAAATGTAGTTTTCGATTGAAACCAATATTTGAACACATGTGAAATACTGAATCAAGTCATGTTTACATAAACTAGATTCTAAAAGTTAAACAAATGACAAGTTTGGCTACTTGAATAAACTGCTATCACTCGCTTTATATTTGAAGAATCGCCAGTTATTCTAGCTTGAAGATATCTGCATATTTCTTGCCATAGTGATTCTGTTATAACAATTGGTCAAATTGACCGACATAAGCCGTTTTAAGGTGCTTCCATATTTAGTAAATAAATATCAGATGAAAAACTTCTAGACGAGGTTAAAATGGAGTGACGCTCCTGTGCGTGGATTTACCACTCAAAAAGAATCGCGTCACGACTTTTGAATTTTGTTCCAAAAGCTTTTAAGCATTTTGCCGTGTAAAAGTCGTGACGCGATATTTTTCCTTATTGTGAATAAATTTTTACAATAGTGAATGCGAAAAACACTTCTGAACTTTGTATCCAGAGGTAATACAGCGTCAAAGCGTCACTCAAATTGATATCATTCTTTTTGAGTCGTAAATCCACGCACAGGAGCGTCACTCCATTTTAACCTCGTCTAGAGGTTTTTCATCTCTATTGACTAGATCGAGAGGAGAGTAAGTTCATCTGACTTTGTTATGAAAGAGAAGAGTAAGTTTCTTTCGACTCAAAAATGGTTAAAGGCGAGTATGTTCATTTTTGGTGGGTCCTCGCGGTTTTCCACGGTTTCCGCGGAACTGATAAGAGATAACAACTTGGTGTTTTCGGCAAAGTTGTAGCACTCGAGGTCTTCTATAACATCGCTGAAGACAGTTATCTCTTATCTCCTATCAGTTCCGCGAAAAGCGCGAAAAATGATAAGAAAAAAAAAGTTCTATATAAAATTTGCTTTTTTATGTGCGCGATTTGCGCGCAACTGATAAGAGATAAGAGATAGATGTCTTCAGCAATGTTATAGAAGACCTCGAGTACTACAACTTTGCCGAAGACACCATGTTGTTATCTCCTATCAGTTGCGCGAAAACCGTGAAGACCGCAGAGGCTAGACGGTACTACAACATACTCTACTTTAACGCCAACAGAATCATCAGAAAACATACTCTCCTCTTTCAAAATATATTAGAATTTTTTCACATACTCTCCTCTCGATCTAGTCAATAGATCTGATATCACTAATTTTGTAGGGCTTTTTTTGAAAAAATACATTTTTATGTAGAAGTATGTCTATTGTTAAGAACGCCACACACAATCAAGCCCATACACACGAACCCATATACACAAACACAACCAAACGAACGACACATGTATAACAGCGCACAAGTCACTGCGTAGCAATGACAGAGCCAGACCCACTACGACCTTCAAGCGAACAAGACCATTGTCGATGTCGAGCGCAAGCAATAAGAAAACGAAAGGAAACACATTGTCATAGTTATTAAGTAGAAAAATAAATAGTGATTCAGTTAACAATTTAAAGCCATTGCATTTTATTGCCCCAAAAAAACCTTCTTGTGCACGAACATCTATTTTAAGATTTTTTTTAATTATTAGGAAATTTCAATTTTCTGGGTAACACATTTGCATTCTAATTTCACAAATTCTGGAGATTGCACTAATCTAATTTCCACCACCATTGAAAAAGTCCCATTTTCCTCTAATGCACATTATAAAATGCGGTAAAATATGATTAAATTTCAAAATAACCATAAAGAGAGTGTTAAAATGATTGTGGATTCTCATTATTTCATTGAAAAATATTAATTTCCAACAACCAAAGCTCTGGAAAGCGCATTTTTTATGTATCACCCGAACAAAAGTTCAATTTCATACATTCAGATGCAAAAATGCCGATTTATGACCAAAATGACAACGAAGTGGGTATTTTGGTGTTGATAGACTCCAATTATTTTTACGAAAAAATAGCAGTTTTCTAAGACCAAAATGTCGTCAGAGGTGTATTTCACGTGTTTTCCGAACAAAAATGTCATTTTCGGTGAAAATAGAGCAAGTTGAAAAATTCACTTCAATCCGACCTATTTTTCGACCATTAAATGCCTTCAGACCGCATTGTAACCACTTCTAATCGATTGTTCGTCGAAAATTGAGCGAATATGGTCTTTCGGTAGCCTTTTCCAGCCAGTAGATGTGTATTTTTGGCAGCAATTTCATCGTAGAATGCGACTTTTCGTACAAATTCCGTTCATTGATGAATTGCCTATGTCCAGAACTTCGAAATATGAATTTTCCCGGATATATGGCATATGCCATTTTGTTGGTATGGTAGCCTGCTCAAACAAACGCTCAGTTGTTGGTAAAAATTGTCGGACTGATTTTTGAGAAATCGCCTTTGGCGTGAAATTTAAGGGGGTCGATTTTTCATAAAAATCGACTTTTTTCTTTTATATCACATAAACATTGGCATGTATTTGATTTTTATTTAACACCGCCAGCTCTGGCTGAATATAATGAGGTTTAAATAAGTGTTTGGACGGAAAAGAGTGCAAGACTGTTACATCAATTTATAATGATAATAATTTACACCAATTTAGTACAACTTCCAATTCTTGCCTCGTTAAAAACCTGGCTCTTTCCATAAATTATACAGTATTTACAAAAGTAGGCACATGAAAACCAAAACATAGTCATACAACCAAGATGGAAATGCTTGATAGTAGTCAGATAGAAAACGGTCCAAAATAACCTTTGGTAAACGTTTCCAAAGGACAAAGGCTATGTGAAGCGTTCAATTTTACACTTTAATTGGTGACTCTAGGACAGCAAAAGTAGTCACTCAATTTATACCTGTGGATAAATTGACGAGAAGTTTTACGTCGGTTTAGGCAGATCCATGTTGGCTGCAGAGTGCTTTGAGTTAAATAATTGGCCATGATTTGAAGCGTATAAATTGCTATATGATGCTAATATGAAAATAATTCTAGAACTGGAATAATAACTCGCCAACTCAATGGATGGCTATGACAAAGATCAATATCAAAATTTACAATGAATAGAGCAAAAAATCACAGATAGGTATCATTATCTCAATACACATAGGAGAATGTAGGGGGACAATTCGTCAGTCATTTAATGATAATTTGTGTCATGTGTGCCGTGAGAAAATGAGTTGAATCGCGTTCGGATGATGGAAATTCTGGTTATGACTCTTTCATGATTGTTTTAATCAGCATTCCAATCAAGAGTGGTGTCAGGGCATATGCTGCGTTGTCTTTGGTGGACTCGAACAGGTTGACGTCATGGCTCGGGTTTACGGTAACATGAAAATTCGCAATTCCATAATTAGTGAGGGTAGTATCAACGTGTTCTCGTAGAGAACATATACAAAAAATGAGGTTACCTGGATGAAAAATTGACTAGGCGGTTAGGTAGTCATTTGAGTTTGCAAAGCGATCCAAAAGTGGTGTCCGTCATTTTGAGAACCGATGATGCAAAATTCTTCTTTGAGGTCGCTGCTGTGAACAGTTCCGGCACCATGTTCGCCATTTTGCACATTTGAGGAATTGGAGCTTCGCGCACCAGCTTCATGTGCATGTGCTTGTCATTGACCCTGAATTGCTCGCTGTGTCTCAATGAACGCCCATCATTAAATGAGACTTTGTCACTAACCGTTGGACAGTTAGCGTTACCATTTATGATATCGTAGAAAAAAGTCAATGACGCGTTGACACGTCGACGGCGAAGACTAATCATGTTCAAGTCTGACAATCGTTGCTCGTACGGTGTGATTGAGTATTGGTTATGCACGGATGGGTATTCTTGGAGAGCGTACATAGTGAATTGGCGTTGCACGGATTCGATTTTGTCACTGTGGATTTTGTGGAATGGAAGCCATACCATGGCGCAGTAATCGAGGTGAGATTGAACCAATGCAAAATACAGCGACTTTAGTGTGGTAACCTCAATGATGTCATGGCAGAAGCGTTTGACAAAGTCAAGTGCAGCCGTTGCCTTCGAAGTGACCATGTCAATGTGTTTGGCAAAAGACAGCTTTCTGTCAATTAGAACACCCAAGTCCTTGTGTTCAGTCACTTTGTCGAAGGTGTGGTCGCCATAGGTGTAGCTTGTTTCCAAATGCTGACGTTTCTTGTAGATAGATAGCACTGCACATTTTTCGAGGTTAAGGTGCAGCAAATTCACATCACACCAGTGTTTAAGTTTGTCGATGGCTTGTTGCAGTATCTCCGAATCATGCTGAGACTTGATGATTTTGGCAATTTTGATATCATCAGCAAACAGTAATATCATGATGTCTGGGGGCATTTGATCCATGATGTCGTTGATGAATAGCAGGAACAGTGTTGGTCCAAGATGGCTCCCCTGTGGGACACCCGACGACGCTGTAAAATCGTTCGACTCACTTGCTCCGTGCTGGACAAATTGAATACGCTTTTCCAGGTACGACTTAAGCCATGCCAGCAAGTTTTGAGGTAGATTGAATGACCTCAGTTTTTGAATCAAAATGTTGTGATCAACTCGGTCGAAGGCTTTCGTAAAGTCCGTGTACAGGACATCAACTTGAGCTCCAATGTTCAGGCCACTCTGGGCGTAGTACACAAACTCGGTTAGGTTTGATGCTGTAGATCGACCTTTCATAAATCCATGTTGGTTGGGCGAGATGCGATCACGAACAATTTCAAGCAAATTTACGTTGACGTGGTGCTCGAAGAATTTAGCGATCGTTGGTAGTTTTGCTATGCACCTGTAGTTTTCAATGTCCGATCTGGCGCCCTTTTTGAATATGGCTGATACACTCGATCGTTTCCATTCGTCGGGAAAAATGCCAGATGAAAGCGATTCATTGAAGATTTGAGTCAACGGACTAGCAAGCGTCAGAGCACACTCCTTCAAAATCAAAGGATGAACACCGTCG